CACTTGGGCTCGCGGAGCCTGCGCTCTAGCGACCTCTGCTGGCGGCGAGGAGAGCAGCGGCGTGCGGACGACCTCGGCTTTTCTTCGCATCTACAGGCACCTGGGGAGCCGTTCATTCTTCGCTTTCCTCGCCCCCACTCTCCTATGGAAAATAAATATGAATTAAATGTGCAGCTAAAAGATCCCTGGCTTTGATGTGAGATCTGAATTCTGATCGAACCTTCACTTGTGGGATATTGGTCTTGATACCCAAAGTATTCAGTTTTCCTATCTGTAAAGTAGAGGCTGCCTCTTAGCGGTTGCATTATAATTGCACTTGGAGGGAAAATGGACTATCCGGTGCAGCACAACCAATCCATCTTAGTCATTTCCTTGACTCTTCAACTACCCTCGTTCTCCTGTGACTAGTTCTACCTCCCTTCTCCCAGGCCCATCCGTGACCTTTAACCAGAATCTAATCCTCATCCTCCTTCTCCTCTCTCTCTCCTTTGGAGAACTCTCTCATTCTCAGGACTTCAACTCTTAACTCCATGGAAGTAACTGAATTTTCCATCAGCCCTGAATTCTCACCTAAACCCCATTCCCAAATTCCAGATAACTACAGGCATTTGTATTTTCTCCAAATTCAGTACATCAAAACTTAAGTCTTTATCGTCTTCCCCTTCCCCTACTCAAATTGGTTTCTGCTCCTGACGTCCTCGTTTCTGTCAATGGCACCTTAATTCTCCCTGTCCCTGATCATAAATCCTTAGAATCAGAGTAAGTATAGAGAAAGATCTCCCCTCTCCCCATATCTGCTAATTCCTGAAGTACTCTTCATTGGTTATTAATTACTGCATAACAAATGACCACACACTTAGCAACTTAAAACACACACATACATCAAGTTGTGGTTTCTGTGGATCAGGAATCTGAGCGCACAGATTAGCTAGGTCCTCTGCTCAGGGTCTCATAAGGCTGCAGTTGAGCTGTCAGGCAGGCTGTGTTCTCATCTGGAGGCTTGTCTGAGGAAGAAGCCACTTTCAAGCTCATTCAGGTTGTTTTTTGTTTGTTTGTTTGTTTGCTTTGTTTTGGAGGGAGGTAATTAGGTTTATTTATTTATTATTTTTTAGTGGAGGTACTGGGAATTGAGCCCAGGACCTCCTGCATGCTAAGCACACACTCTACCACTGAGCTATACCCTCCCCTTCTCAAGCTCATTTAGATTTTAAGCAGAATTAATCTCCCTGCTGCTTGCTGAGTGAGATCCCTACCTTTTTTCCTGGCTGTTGTCTGGAGACCACTCTCAGGTCATAGATTTTGCCCACAGTTCCTTGCCAGGGACTTCTCCAATAAGGCTGCTCAATAAATCAAGCCCTGGAGAAGAGTGTCAGCTCAGGGAAGGTCCAGTCCTTCTTTTTTAAGGACTTTCATTTGATTAAGTCAGGGCCACCTAGGTCTGACCCCAAAATTAACTGATTTAGGGTCTTAGTTACATCGGCAAAATCCCTAACCTTTGCCACATCCATTAGCTGCAAGCAAGTCACGTGCTGCCTACACACAAGGGGAGGGGATTACAAAAGGTGTGAACAGCAGGGGCAGGAATCTTAGGGCCGGCCACCTACGGTCTGTCTGCCACATGGCCCTTCATCTCATATATTCCTTTTTCCCTTCTGAGTTCCCACAGCATGTTTGTGGGAGCTACTAGTATAACATAATATCCTTTCTGTGATGTTTATTTTATTTGTGTGTGTGAGTGTGTATGTGTGTCTGTTTGTCCTCTCTAACAAAATTATAAACTCCCTGTAGGTCTGTATTTCTCCAGAATTTCTTTTGGGGTGCCAGACACATAGTAAGCACTTACTAAATATTTGTAGGATAAAATAAATTCATGATCTAAATTACAAAAGCATTCCTCACAGATAAATCCAGTGATCGTGCACTCATTCAACGTTGATAAGAGGCAGCAGAGCAGAGTGACTGAGAACAAGGACACAGGAGCCAGACTGTCTGGGTTGGAATCCCAGCTCTGCTACTCCCTCTGACTCCTTAGGCAAGTTGCTTATCTCCTCTGTGCCTTAGTTTCCTCATCTGTGACATAAGTATAATACCAGTTTCTCCTTCATAGAGTTATTATGAGGATGAAGTAAGTTAATAGTTGAGAAGTATTTCAAACTGTGCCCATTGCAGTACTGTTTGCTGGTTAAAAATTAAATGTCTACCCTGAGACAGATGCTGTGCTAGGATCCAGAGCACAAGGATGAGCAAGACCCAGTCTCCACATTTTCTTTCTTTCTTTTTTTTTTTTTTGATAGACTTTATTTTTTTAGAGCAGTTTCAGGTTTACAGCAGAACTGAGCAGAAAATACAGAGTTCCCACATAGCCCTCCACCCACACATATATACTCCCCTACCCTCAACATTCCTCATCAGTGTGGCCTATTTGGTACAATTGATGAACCAACATGGGCACATTATTATCAACCGAAGTCCATAGTTTACTTTAGGGTTCACTCTTGATGTTGTACATTCTATGGGTTTTGACAAATGCATAATGACATGTAGCCACCACTATAGTATCATACAGAATAACTTCATTGCCCTAGAAATCCCTTGTGCTCCATCTATTCATTCCTCCCTCCCTCTCCCCAAACCCCTGGAAACCACAATCTTTTTATTGTTTCTGTAACTGTGCCTTTTCCAGAATGTCATTTGGTTGGAATCATACAGTTTGTAGCCTTTTCAGACTGGCTTCTTTCATTTAGTAATATGTCTTTTAAGTTTCTTCTATGTCTTTCATGGCTTGATAGATTTTTTTTAACTGTACATATTTTTTTAATTTACATATATGTACTGTTCATTGTTTCTAAGAACGTTTAGAGCTTTAGCTTTTTAAACATACATAGTTATCAAAGGAATAAAGCCAACCACAAAATAAGAATTAACTCAAAAAGATACATACACTCTGCTATGAACAGCAACACTCTGCTATGAACAGCAACATTGTAATTGCCAAGATATGGAAGCATCCTAAGTGCACATCAGTAGTTGAATAGATAATGGAGATAATAGATTACGAAGCTGCATCTTACAGGGGAGCACCTGCAACAGTGTTGGACCATGGAACACCATGGGTTTGGTAGGGTTACCCACTCTGTGATCTGGACACACTACACACTCCGGCGATCTGAATGAGTTCTTAAGCAGCCTGCAAGTCTCTTCCTGCATAATTTTCAATGGATTGCCTTGAAAGTTAAATCTTTCTTGAATACATTTTAATAAAAGTTTCACTAGTCCAAATACATTTTAATGAAAACATTCTCTATTTTTCCAAAAATGTTCTATCAGTCTTATCTAAATACTGACTAAGGATTTTGTACCCAGTAATGGCAAAACATGGGTTTGCATCCTTAGTTCTGAAATGGTGGGTAGAGATAGAAATGATGTTCTTGGCTTTCGGATTGTGAGTGTTGAAAATGCAGAGACTCGAGCGCTCTAATATTTGCATTATAGGGGTCCCAGAAAGAGAATAGAGAGAGGAAAGACCTGAGAAAATGTTTGGAAAGGTAATAACTGAAAACTTCCCCAACTTGGGAAAGGAAATAGTCACCCAAGTCCTAGAAGCACAGAGAGTACCACACAGAATCAACCCAAAGAGGAACACACCAAGCACATTATCATCAAATTGACAATTAAGGATAAGGAGAAAATATTAAAATTAGCAAGAGAAAAGCAACAAATAACATACAAGGGAACTCCCATAAGGTTACCAGCTGATGTTTCAGCACAAACTCTACAGGCCAGAAGGGGGTGACACGATATATTCTCCATTTAAAGTGATGCAAAGGGGAAACTTACAACCAAGAATACTCTGTCCAGCAAGGCTGTCATTTGGACTTGATGGAGAAATCAACAGCTTCACAGATAAACAAAAGCGAAAAGATTTCAGCACCACCAAACCAGCTTTACAACAAACGTTAAAGGACCTTCTCTAGTTGTCAAACCATAAGAAAAGAGAACAAAAAGAAGAAAGAGAGAGAGAGAAAAAAGAGTCCTACAAAAGATTGCTTTGGCTGTTTGGGGTCTTTTGTTCCAGTTCTGTGAGGAATGTCATGAGTATTTTGACAGGGGTTGGGTTGGATCTGTGGATTGCTTTGGGTAGTGTGGCCATTTTGATAGTGTAGATTCTTCCAATCCAAGAGCACAAGAAATCTTCCCATTTCTTTGTGTCATTTCAGTTTTCGGAGTATAGGTAACCTCCTTGGTTGGGTTTATTTCTAGGTATTTTGTTGTTTTTCATGTAATGGAAATGTCTCTGCCCATTATAAAATTCTGGTTTTGAAGTGAAAAAAAAAGTGAATGAAGGGCTGCAAAGGGCAAAATATCCTTCTTTTTTATGGGTGAGTTGTATTCCATTCAATTTAGATTCTTGCAGAGGATGATAATTTACATAGTGAGGGATAGTGTGTACTCACCAAGCTATCAAAGCAGATTAATTTCTTAACTCCTAAGAAAATATGTCAATGTACCACCAAACCTTTTATTGAGCATCTGTTTGTGAAGAAATTAAAAATATTTTAAACTTTATTTTCATAAGCATTACCTCTATATGAAGAAAAATGTATTATATGCCACTTCTGAGTAACAAAAGAAAATAAAGATATAGATATGTAATTGATTATTTATCCACATAATATCTCCAGATGGATACATAGGATTGTGGTCACACCAGTTACCCCAGAAGGAGAGCAGATAGGATAGGAAGGAGACTTTTCACTTATACCATGTTCTACCTTTTAGGGTTAAACCATATAAATTGCTTCACTTGCTTCCATACAAACATAAGCCAATAATTTGATGTCGAACACTTTGAAGGCATTGTTCAAGTGGCTTGTCATGGGGCTGTTACTGTCAAATTAACATGGTTGTGGGAAAATAGAGCTTAAGTACTTAGTCAGCAAATGGCACTTGTGGACTGTGAGGGAGGAAGTTCAACTCATTTGTCTAACATTGCTTGGGTTTTACGATCATTTTCTATTTTTAAAATTCTTTTATTTTCTTCCCGATTCAATTAACAAGTTTTTATTTAGTGCCTACTCTCTGCTCAGTAGTGTCCTAGGAATTCTAGGAGATATAAAAGAAGCCTTCATGAAATAGTCTTTAAAGTTCTTGCCAAGTCTGGGGATCACTGTGGAATGGGGTGGCTCGCAAGTTGTCTTGGAAGCAGAGCCTTGACTTGAGGCTTGAAGAGAAATGGAAGCAGGGCAGGAGGTTCTCTGGGCCAGGAGAGACAGCTTGATGGAGGCATTAGGAGGGAAGAGAGACACAGGATGGTCAGAGAGGCTGAGCCCAGTTTAGAAAGGCCCTAAAGGTCAGGCACAAAAGCTTAGCCTTGGGGGTTCATGGGGAGCCATGAACCCCAGGGAGACATAAGCCTGGTATTATTATCATGGAAAGAAGAGAGAACAGAAACCAGAGACAAGGAGGCCACGCTTGTTGCAATAATCCAGAGGTAAAATGATGGGGGATGAAGGTTTCCATTGGAATGGCGGTGGTGGTGGAGTGTTGAGGAACAAAGAGGAAAGAAAGAAAGCGTGAGACGTTTCAAAGGAGGAACTATCATGTCTTGATGATTGGCTGGAGAAGGAAAGGGAGAAGACTTAGATAATTTCAATTTTTCTAGTTTGAGTGACCAGAAGAGTAGCTTATTTTCTCTTTTCTTTCCTCACACACAAATTGAACCCCCCCATAGTGTCCAGTTGAAATATCAATTATAAGCAGAATTAATTAATTTTTTCCAATTAGAAACACATGAAACCTTATTTGCCTTGAGCTCCAATACCCAGCCCAAATCCTGCCTGGGGTTTGTTCTTGCACAGGGCTCATACCTCTAGGGTGGTGCTTACACTCTAGCCTTGCTTGTCCTGTGAATGTGTGGTGTGTAGGTTCATCCCCCACTAGACCAGAAGCCCTCTGTGTGCAGGGACCATGAGTAAGTACTCAACAGGTGTCTGTTGAAGAAAAGGAGATGTAAATGAAAAGTAACATAAAAAAGCTTTCCAGAAAGGAAAGCACTGAAAACATCATTTAAATTAAAATTTGCATAAATAAAGTTTCTCTGGTCCAATCACTTTACATGCCAAGTAAAGATGAAACACTCTACTGTAATGGATTTAGGGCCACACAGTTTTATTCCTTGGCTTAAGTTGCAGTGCAGTAATAATAATAATAATGCAGTGTAACAATACCATGCAATAATGAAATTGCTGATAGAGCCTAGAATGAAACGAAACACTTCACATATAGTACACAAGTTACTGGAAAGTGATTACTAGTATTACCATTTTATAGGAGAGGAGCAGGCACAGAAAGGTTATTCGCACAAGGTCACCCAACTGGTAAGTGTTGGCTCTGAGATTTGAACCCATAAAACTCGGCCCTGCAATTCCCCATCCTTAAGACCTCTACTTTGTATTGCATGTACATACGGCTCTTTTGAAGACCTACAAGTTATCAACCTTTCTTAGGGGAAGGGACTTAGCCACCCTATACCAATCAATGTTTTTTGTTTTTTCTTTCTTTTTTTCTTTTTATGGGTTATATCCTCAGATGAAAGCACGGGAGGAAGAAATAGCATATTTGTTTTCACAAATGTAGTAAATGAACTCCAGCAGTAATAGTACTTTACAGACCGTCTAGTAACAACACGGGAATAAAACCCTTTCCCTGGCACCGATATAATATCCCCCTCCCCTCATTTTTATTAAAAGCCTCGCTTTATTTGGAAACTCTTAAAATAAGTGGTCATATGATTAAAAAAAGCCGCGGCGCGCCCCCTCCCCGGCGGCCGGGCGCAGCTGTCCGCGCCTCCCCCGCCCGCATTCCAACTCTCTGAGGTCACGGGCCGCCGCCGC